AAAAAAATAAAAAATAAATAAAGAGGCTCCTTGCAGATGATCAATGTTAGCCAATTATCATGGAAACGATCCTAAAAGCAGAGATTTTGTGCCTGGACTGTGGAGAAACATATTCCTCCCATTTCAGTAGTTTCTCTCAGCACACTATCAATTAGGTTTAATTATTATAGTTCCTCCCAGTGCTAGATACTTTATTATAAACTCATGACATTTTCTTGCATGAACTTGGCCAACATTGCTGAGGTATTACCTTCTGGTTAGGAGGCCAGGGCTCAGAAAGAATGACCGCCTTTGTGTGAGCCGGTGGGTGAGAATTGGTAGGAGTCTAGAATAGCAACCAGCCAAGCAGAACAGGGAGAGTTTGCGGGCAGCAGAGCTGCCAACCCGGCCGGGGATGGAGCGTCAGGAAGGCCAGCGTGTGGCCCTCTGTGGCTTTGCTGGCTCCCACATGCCATGGGCTCCCAAGTTTGGACTCCTTCCTGCAGGCTTTGCCACTGGCAAGGCCCTCAGGAGAAACCACCTCTCTCCTCCTCATAAAACCACCTTCAAAGGTGCCCAGTGACAAACAGCACCTGCCCACAGAGACGATGAGAGTGTGCAGAAGCATTCCCATTATGAGTCTGGGGATCTCTTAGAGACCAATTACTAGGTCGGTTCAGAATCCAAGACCCGCCACTTTCCTAAGGCTTTTCCAAGAACGGCATTAACATTCAGAGGTGCAATTGGACAGCTACACTTCTTTTAGCCAGCATTTCAAATTCACGGCCAAGAAGACCTCAGACATTAAAGGTGGACCTGGGAATAGTGACCCCTCTGGACAGCGCCTGGATGCAGAAGCCCCCCCTCCCCTACCTCTCCCCACATTTTTCGACCTCACACAATAACCGAATACCTTTTAGATCGCATGTGCATCTCCTTCTCTGAAATGTATCTTTCTTTGGGTTTGAACAAGTTATCTGGAATGAAATAGAAAGAGGATTAATTTCAGAAAGTATGGATATCACACATTTCTAGAGAAACACTGTGGTGGACTTAGTACACACTTTATTATTGATCCTTAGTCAATAGGATCAATAGTGTAAGCCCCAACCTGCTACAGATACTGCAGGACTCGGTAGACACTCCTACACCAGAAACGCTTATATTGAAATTGACAACCAATAGATTGGTCTTGACAATAAATACAGGCATGAAGTACAAGGCTGGCATCTAAAATACTTTGCAGACAGTGACCCTTCTGCGTGCTTCAGGTAGTAACTATTACAGTGTGCTCTGCAGGGGGCAGTGCCAAGGTGGCACTAAACTGTGTTTCAGGGTCACCCTGGGTGCAGGGCTCTGGGTGTCAGGTGGAAGATCTCCACACTAGGTTCCTGGTGCCTCGGAAGACAAGGAAATCTCCCAGCTATCACCAGAGCATTTTGAGAGCAGAAGTGGACACTCACAACTGGGACCCTCCATCAGGGACACTCAACCTCTGCATCCATTCTCACAGAGGACTAGCTCTTTCCCAATCAGAAAATGCAATGGACAGCAACATAGGAAAAATGTCTGTCTGGTGTACCTTGAGAAAGTACACGTGGCTGAAAATCACTATGAGTCCGGAATGTTTTCCAATGTGAGTACATATTACTAATCACAGTGATGTTTATAGATGGCACACTTAGAAATAGTATGTATTTTTTAAGAATAGTGTGCATACCCTTTTGTAATAACTCAAATTCCCACAAGGCTCTCAGCCCTATAGACTGGCCAAGAGCCTGTCACACAAAAATGCTCTTGGGGTATGTGTTGCATGGAGTGCATCTGAGAAGCTGCCACACTTTCTGGAACACCTGTACGTGACCAGTTCACCTCCACCACTGAGCATAAGCAAATAGACAACTCAGCATCCTAGCTAAGCATCACAGAGTTGACATGGGCTCCCTGTGATCCCCAGTGAAGACCCCATGTATTTCCATTAATCTCTCCAAATCAGCCTGTCCCCTCACTCAGCACTCCAGTGGAGCCACACGAGACTTCTCGGGCTTGCAGAATTATCCATGAATATACACGAAGGTGGGGTAGAGACAGGGAAACTAACAAATTTCTCCCCACTGGAGAAACAAAACACAGCTACGGATTTACAAACTGGAAACAATACAGTGGCTGAGCTTGTATTCCGTCTAGTTATTTAACATAAAAGAAAAAAATGGCACCATTACTTAACTTCAAAGACAAGGTTCAAAGGAGAAGTAGGAGAGAGGAACAAAAAAAATCAATAGAATTTTCCCAGCTAAAGGAAAATGTCCTTCATGTTTGGAAAGGCATGAGAGAAAGGAGCAGTCAACACCACCGTGAAGATTTCCAAGATGCCTCCCAGTGCACACCCTTGGTTTTCACTCCTGCTAGGACCAGCCCAGAGTGGAGAGCCTTGATGGGGGCGCCTGGGTGGCTCAGTCGGTTAAGCGTCTGCCTTCAGTTCAGGTCATGATCCCAGGGTCCTGGGATCGAGTCCCACATCGGGCTCCCAGCTCAGCGGGGAGCCTACTTCTCCCTCTCCTCCCCATCTCTGTCTCTCTGTCTCTCATAAATAAATAAAATCAGAAAAGAAAGAAAAGAAAGAGAAAGAAAGAAAGAAAGAAACATCCTGATGACTTTCCCAGAGAAATGGGGTGCCACCTTAAGGCAGCCAGGTCTTGGGAAAGTAATTCTGTGACTGCTTGAAGACTCCTACTCAGGCAAGGAGAAGGAACCTCTCCAAAAAAATTAGACCCAAGCCCGGATTAGCATTCCTCAGGAGCTACTCAAGATTAGGGTGCAGCCAACCCAGACAGATAATGGTGCTCCAAAGGAATAAAAATGTTACAAACATAGTTTGTATCTTAATCCAATTGTATGTGGTCTACTTTGGGAAATTAGATTTTTTTTTTTTTAAGTTTGTTTCTTTAGAACACCTGATATCACAATGAAGCTTTGGTTTTATTTCCAAGAGAAAACAAAAGCAAATGTGAGCTCTTTGGCACCTCCACTGTTTTGTTTTCTGAACTCTTCGTGGCCTGCTATGCCTCAGCAGAAATTTAAATTCGGGGCAGAGACGCCCATATTAGGTGCCAAACAAGCAGGTCTGCATCCAAGACGGCCAGCCTCACCCCAGCTGGTGCTCCTTGGTTGCTGACTCGAGTTTTTGTAACACCACCAAACCCATCTGATGAGTAATGAGACCTTTCTGGCGAGGAGGAAGGAGAGAAGCAGCGGTTCTACCCTCCTGGAGGGAGGCTCCTAACCTCCCTAGAGCAAATGGAACCCTCTCTAGCATTTGGAGGAGAGAATGGCATGGGACGGGGAAGGGAACGGCGTGTCAGACTTGAGGGGTCTGCATTACTATTTATAACAATACTCCTAGCGTTTATTGGATGCTTCCCTACGTGATCTTCATACCAACCCTGTGACATGCACACGATTTTTTATTATTTTAGGATTGGGGAACCCTGAGTTCAAAGGGCTGTTTCCTGGGACGCCTGGGTGGCTCAGTTGGTTAAGCCTCTGCCTTCGGCTCAGGTCATGATCTCAGGGTCCTGGGATCAAGTCCCACGTCGGGCTCCCTACTCAGGAGGGAGCCTGCTTCTCCCTCTGCCTGCTGCTTCCCCCGCTTGTGCGCTCTCTCTCTCTCTCTGATAAATAAATAAATAAAATCTTAAAAAAAAAAAACAACAAAAAAAACAAAGGGCTGTTTCCTGTTCAGACTCATGAAGTGAACGAGTGAGTGGCAGAGCTGGGTGTCAAGCTGAGATAGCCCAGCCCTGTCCTCACATTCTCTTCACCTCAGAACACGGACACCCACTCATACTGCAGAATCCATATTTTGGGCACCCTGGTGAGCGCTAGTCCACTTTCCAGGAGACCAACCCCAAATTTACTTATTTTATAATCCTTCCTCCTACATCTAATGAGCAACTCCTGTATCACCAGGGGATGCTCAGAAGAAAAAAAAAATAGGTAAGATCCTGCCACCGTGAACTTCATTTGTTGGGGGATCGGATAATTAACAAAGAAGAAAAAAAAATAGGTAAGATCCTACCACCGTGAACTTCGTTTGTTGGGGGGAGGGGGGATCAGATAATTAACAAACTGGCTACAACATATCAGGCAAGTGCTTTGAAGGAATCGAAACAGGCCCACGTAGTAAAGGGGGACTGGGGTGGTCAGGAGGGCCCTTCGGGGGAGGAGGTACTTATTTATTTATTTAAAGATTTTCTTTCTTTCTTTAACAGAGCATGGGGTATCGAGTCCCGATACCCCATTCTTTAACAGAGCGAGACACAGCGAGAGAGGGAACACAAGCATGGGGCGTGGGAGAGGGAGAAGCAGGCTTCCCACTGAGCAGGGAGCCCGATGTGGGGCTCAATCCAGGAGGAGGTATTTAAAGCACAACCCAAATGACCGAGGGACCAGCCGTGGGAGGAACTCGAGCTGGGGGTGGGTAGGGGGAAACAATGAGGGCCACACTGGATGCAGAGTGAGGGTGCGAAGGAATGAGGCTCGAGGCAAAGTCAGGCCAGCAGGTGACACAAGATCAAAGACAGCAACATTCTCCACCCAGGTACGCTTGACAACCACCTGGGGACGTTGACCGCGATGCAGACACTGGAAACGTGAACCAGAATCTCCAGACTACGCCACTGTGTACCAAGACTGCAAACCATCCGAATTGGGTTATGTAAGCCTGTTTAAGGAGTTTTCCTTCAGAGTAAGAGAGATGGAGACTAGAGATGGCCGTGCTCAGAGGGGGGGGGACTCCAGCCTCACCAACACTGCCCGTGTGCAAAGTGAGCTGTGGGCTGGGAGAAAAGGATCGGGATGACTTCCAGACTGCAGGCCGGAGCGACCACTCATTTGCTGACCTCTTTGGTGCTCTGCAGTAGAGACACAAAGGTAACTAAGACTAAGGGCTCAAAGCCCAGGGTGAGAGCCACATAAGTAAGGCCTTTGGGTGCCAGGACCAAGGGTCTGCATGGGGTGGAGGGCTCCTGGGGGAGTGGTCAGCCCTCCGGGGGAGGAGCCATGCCGGGGAGACTTTGCAGCCGGAGGCAGCTGAGCTGAATCTCAAAAAAGACAGACAGCAGGCTGGAGGAAGGGTGACCCCAGGGGAGAAATGCAGCAGGGCCACTGGGACCTGCCTGCAGCAAGAGATGGTTCTCCAAGCACACATATGTGCAACAGGACCCAATGGGACCTCATTTCAAGGAATAGAAATCATCCTGCATGCGCTTTGTTCAAAAATACAGCAAAATCACATCTATCAATTCTCTTTGAAGGAAATTCTTCCTTTATGAAATTAAAGTGACTGGAGAGAACAATATTCAGCCTGCTTATTGGTCTTTTATGGATTTTCCTTGAAGCACTGTTATTCCAATTCACAGACAGAGAGCAAAGAGAACCATGGTTGTATTTATCTCTCGTTAATGTTCAAATAGAAGAGGTTTGAGGCTTGTTTTCAGTTTTTTCAGTAAAATTACTAAATTGCCCATTTATGTATTTCTGGAAAATCCTTTTTTCCCGCCTGAATCTGTTGTGTGTGTCTGGCTCATGATTGTATCCAAGCCCCAGGGCCTGTTGATAATTTAATTTGGCAAAGCCAGACATGCTTAAGCCCTTGCCTCTTTCAAAGTCAGCCAATAACCAGCTACCAAGATTTTGGTGCCTCTGAGGCTGCTCTGGGCGAGTAGCTGAGCAAAAGCTGAGTCCCGATACCCCATCGATCTCTGTAAACACACGTGAGTGTTTATTAACGACCCTCACCTGCTTCATGTGTGAACACACACATCTACACCCATTCGGTGTCGCCAGGAAGCAACAAGGGTCACCTAGATGCCAGCATGATTGGTTGTTTGGGGGGGCTGGGGTTCTTCTCCCTCCACACAGAGCCCTATCTACAGCTCTGATTGCAAAGCTTCATTTTCCCTATTGAACAAGTAAT